TGGGGCTCAACAGTGAGCGCTTACGGATAAGAGCAGGCTCTCACACTCCTCTCTCAGCCCTTCTTCTCTTACACACCCTGCTCTCTAATCTTTTGTTCCACTGCAGGCCATTATACGCCAACAAAGAATGACACATTACAGCCTCCGAGTATCATATAGAAAAGAAAACACAGAGACAAAGGAACACATCCATCCTCAGGGTCATGTGAGTGTACATAAGGCAGAAAAAAACCAAGGGAATGCCTGCATTAACCCACTTTACCTCTCTGAATCCAGGCCAGCACAGTAAAGGGCCTCGACTGTATCTCAAGTTAATGATAAACCTCAACAAACCTGGGCTAAATCTCACTGCCTGGCAAAACAGCACATGTTGAAAAGCGGATTAGCTTCACAGTCACCCTCGTGTTGGATGATCATAAAAGCTGAACTCCTAAAATAACACTGGAGGAAAAAAGAAAAAACTTGTGTTTTCAGCTTTCAAACAGGATTCTTACAAAGCCATGTGGGTTAAGCAGAACAAATAGATTTTATGGGACAACTTCCCTTTACCAGGTTTTATTGGCAAAACTAGCGCTAATATTCCTGCAGTGAAAAGTGAAATGACTGAGCGCCCTGTAAGCGGCTGGGCACAGTAGATGTAAGGAAATAACAATTTCAAAACACAACGCAAAATAGGGCCCAACTAATATGAACTTTTTGTGGCTAATATCAATTTTAAGAATTTTTACATTTAAGATTTTGACATTTAACAGAATTTTTTATTTAAAAAATTTCAATAACAGTTTGACCCAATATAATGTTCTCTTTATATTTTTAACTGGTCTACTGTGAATTGTGAAATATGACTGTCACTCACTAGTCACATTTCTAAAACCTTAAATAAACAGCAGAAGATAATGTTCTATAATGTCCTTCAGATTTTCTGTAAACAAAACCATTCAGAGTAGTTTGATGTGAAATTTATTGTAGAGATTTCTTTACAGTAGTGTGATAGTGGTCACAAAGTCTACAACGCAAATATATAAATATATAAAATATATACATTTTATTTACTATGCAAAACCACCAGTGAACCTACATGTGTCTTCTGAGTGTTAATATGCAATGTTGACAAAGGGGACTATTTTGCCTTATAACACCCTGCATGTACCTCACTGCCCTGAATGGATTAAAAAAAGAATTTTAGTCCAAAACCTTCTCAAAACTATGAGAAAGTATCAGATAGCATATTTTTAACCATGTCACAAAACAAATTTCAATGAAAGAGCTTTTAGAGGTATTAAACTCTTTGGAGGTCTTGTTCCCATCACCACCACTATGAACAATTCAGACTCTCGTAAGCTTCTCTAGAATGGACCATTTTGAGTTAAATTAGTACTTACACATAGTAAAAATGCATTTTTATAAATTTCTTTTGTAATGTTAAGCAAATATACACAACTGAATCATGTCTGGCTTCATATTTCACATCAACCCCTCTGAATGACTTACATCTTAATAATTTAATTATACTGAAAATTTGAAAAATCTGTGGAATTCTCCTTCTCCTTTTCAGACCTACTTTGGACCAAAAAATAACATGTGTGTTCTACAGGGTGAATGAAAAGTCAGGAACCACCCAAATATCTGACGCTGTCATCATTGTCGTTATATTAGACCAATAACTGTACTTATGATGTATGTTACCCATTGGTCATCTAATGGTAATGATGAAGTCAATTTATCATAAAGCCTCTTACAGGTACTCGGGCGGTTTCAGACATGCTGGATAGATGACAGTAGTGCAGTGTTAGCCTCTGGAGAATGTTGCTCTTTCAGTTTAAAATAAAGCATTGTAAAACCCAAGAGCCATAGTGTCTACTACATTCCTACCAAAGGGCTCCAGCGCTGGTTGCTTGGGCAACATAATTACATGTGGGGTGGCTGGGGTGAAGAGAAGTGGGGGGGTGCACTAGGAAACACACGGTGAGGGTTTTTGAGCTTTGCCACCATGCCATTATGGTCCTGTTTGAACCTTACACAGAATAAGCAGCCTAAGGGCTGTGGCCAGGCAGACCATGTTTTCTCTCTCTCTTTCTTTCTCTCTTCTGGCCAAACCATCTTCCCGCCAAGCCACTCGTTTTTGTACTTTGAAATGCAGCCTCTGCAATGAACAGTGTATATCATCTGCTTTCAGCGCTTCTGTTTTTAGCTCCAGGACTTGCCGATACTCCTGCCATGTGCTATAGCTGTTCGGTATGAACGAAATATCACATGGCATATATATTATTACATATTTTGATTGCAATACGACCCGACCAACCACATGAATGTCTGCGATCCTTCAGAATGCTCACCAAATTCTCAAAATATCTCAGTAGGGCTCTCAAGAAACGCTCAATTTCTTAGCAGCATAGTCCTAATGTCAGGACATTGATGTAAGATTTTGTGAGACTGCAAAGGACATACGGCACAGGCAATTATATTGTGCAGCACCATCACGTGTTATATTTATGAATCTGAGCTCGTATTGCTTGACATTTAGATTTTATGTGTATAATCTAAATCTCGAAGGGTGCAGGCATTCAGTTTCTGTAGTCAATCATAAAGAGATTTAAGAGAAGTTAAACAGCATCAGACCTTCATAAAGATCTTATCTATTTAAGCTTTTCACAAGCTGATGTAAGTAAGAATGGGGTAACAGCTATATGGGTGTAAAAAGAAAAAAAAAATGTGCAGGAACGTAGAGGTAGGATGATTCAGGAGCTGTAACTCTGCCCATTCAGCAGCAGATGCCAATGTCACACATTTCACTTCAACTCAAAGCAGTCGACCGTTCCCCCACACAACCCACTGCCAGGTCGATTAGATTACAGCAAGAGTCTTGGTGACAGCTCCTGGGCATACTTGAAAAGTGGTTGATATCTGAGATCCTCTCCACTCACTCCTCTCTCAAGCTTGAGAAGAGATGGTATATTGAGAAGTTCATGTCACAGGCCAAGCACTTTCTGAGGCAAATCCATCATTAAAATGGCAGCAAAGTGAGTTCAAAAGGAAAAAAAACAGATTTGCATTAATCCACATGACAGAAATGAAGGAACTTCCTTGCAATGATCACAGCAAGACCACATAAAATCTAAATTAGTTTAACCCCCCAAAAAACCTTATTTTAAAGCAGTTCAAAATATACAATTTGCATGGTTTGGAATAAATCTGCCCAAGAGTCCTTAGGCAGTCTAGAGCTGGACAAAACAAGCTATGAGACTTATTCACTTTGGAGTAAGTATGTTAATGGTTCCTATAGAAGGCAGGAAAGGTGACCACAACACCAAAAAACACCAAAAACCAGGAACAATCTGATTACGTATGTGTATGTTTATGAAGCACTACTTACAAACAGTCTTTTCAAGAGTGAGGTTTTCTGATATCCTTATATATTCGTTATATCTTATCCAATCACCAGTCAGATGGTTGCTAATGCTAATAAACTGCTAGTTTATTTTATAATTTGTGATTTGTGAGACAAAATAAAACCACTATATATCTCTCTTCAGCCAAACATTGCATCTTGGACAACAACTGTGGGAGAGGCTTTGTATCTCTGATGACTCCTGACCACCTACTGAGAGTTCTTTAAGAACTACTCAACCTAGCTGTATCTGGCTTGCTCCATCCACCAGGACTGCCAGGCAGGCCCACCGACGCGAGCACATCCTGCCCATCTCTAGATTATCCAACCCAGTGAGCCCATTGAGGACCCAGCCCCAGGAGGAAACTGGAAACCCTTCCCATTCAGCTGGAGAAGGTACAGCCTTCTCCTGCATTCAGAGCATGGCCACAGGGTCAGAGACAAGAGGCCTGAATTAAGACTGTGGCCTGGTTTCAAACCACCCGAGGGAAAAGCTACTGGTCCCACAGAGGCCTCAATCAGGACATCATTATTCAAAGACCAAGAAAGCTGAGAGAAAACTGCTGTGATGAGGAAATTCAGTCACATCCTTGAGTGATTGAACAGAGCTGTCTTTCTTACAGCTGGATTGGTAATTGTCAATGTTGGTTTCACAGCTTACAAAATGCTCCCCATTTTGCTAAAATGTGGAACCTCCCAGCATCAGGAACCCCAATTTTACAGATCTATTTGATCATCTCCACTCTTAAAAGCAATGGTTCCCAAATGGTTCTTGGCTGTCAAGGTCTAAGAAAAGACTTTAATCGCTAAAGAACTTCTATGTTATATTATAGGATACATTACGCCTACACACGCCTTTCATGACAACTGACGCACAGCTATATAAACATTTATAAAGGTTTATTCCAAAAAGCATCAGTTCTCATAACACGTTATGTGGTGAAACTGACTAAAGCAGCCTTTGACGACTGATGCTTGTTGGAATAAGCTTTATAAATGTTTATATTGGTATATGTCAGTTGTCATGAAAGGCTTATCTATGTGTCAGGTAGCCTTACAAATGCTGCCCCTCACTAAAGTGGTACCTATTATTCACACCACACATTTCATGCACAAAAATAGTTCTTCAAAATTGTATTAATTGGTAAGTTCTGTGTGGAACTGAAAGTGGTTCTTTTCTGGCAGAAGTTCCTTCAGATCCCCCTAGAAGTTCCACATTTTTACTTTACGCCTACATGTTGCATGTTGGGTTTGACAAATATAGACCATCTGGGGGTTCCTGAGGACCTAGAAGAATAGAGATAGAAGAATAGAATACACATAGAAGAATCATCGTTTCCCTGCAGAACCACTGTCCTAAGGAACCTTTTTGGCACCATTATTTTTAAGAGTGTTTAGGCCATGCAAAGAAGCTACTGGTCTCAGAGAAAAGCTGGTGGTCCCAAAGAGGCCTCAATCGACGAGCAAGACAGCTGCTTCAATTAGGAAATTCAGTCATCCTTGAGTGACTGAACACAGAACGAACCTGAGCTAATGTAACTTTCTCATAGCTGGTCTGGGAATCCGCAAAATCTCAAAAAAACAAGCCAGTACAAATAAGCCATGCACTTACTGGCTACTTCCAGCGAGGCATTGTGGCTGACTGCTTCTCCGAGGTAGTTTCGGGCCACGCACACATACGAGCCCTCGTCCGGTTTGCTGCGACGGCCGTGGACTATTCTCAGGAAGAAGAGGGAGCCACTGGGCAGCAGCATGCGGTGCGAACGTGAGTTGTCCCGGTCCGTCTCCACCCTCTCACCGTCCTTGTACCACTCCACGGTGGGCATGGGCCGGCCCTCGGCCTTGCAGTTGAGGGTGGCCGGCTCGCCCTTGGACACTATCAGGTCAGAGGGGTGCTCCACAATGCGGGGTGGGTAATCTTCCTGCCGCAGACGGGATCCTGAAGGATACACAAAGGGAAAGCATTGAAATTTAGCAAGACAGGTTACTACAGTGAGTCGAAAATCTGTAACGTGATCGGACAAATGTAGAGGAGCTAAATAAAGAGAGATCCTAGCACAGTGTATGGCAATGAGACAGAGCATAAGTGAGACAGTAAAGGAGACATGTCCAGGCAGGGCTTTTCAAGGACATCCTGCACAGGTGCTGATGAAGCTTCACAGCCTTTGCTGATCCAGTCTTTTTTTCCCTTTAGCATGCTCCTTCACTCACACACCATTTTTGTTTTGTATTCCCCTAATGAAGTTAAAACAAGGCTTCCTGTGACAATCTGCTTATTGACCCACACCAGTGCCAGCAATTAAAACAATAGATTTTTTAGCCTTCACAAAATTCTTGGCATGAAAAACCGCCACACACACAATTGAGAATTCATTTAAATTCACTGGGTGAAAAAAACAATTGTTACTGGAAATAATGAGCACTGATTTAATATGACACAGTCTGCAACTCCTTCTTTTTGGACACCACTAAGCAGGTGTTGATGCTTTTCAGAAAGGAAGACATGAATGGAGAACTCATTTTAGATCACTGGGTGAAATAACAATGCAAAATACTGTATTGTTATTGGAAATAATGAGCACTGATTTCATGTGGCAAAGCCTGCTTGTCTTCTCTCTCTTTTTTCTTTGGATTTTCCTAAAGCAGGTGCTGATAATTCCCATAAGAAAGGGAGCAAATACAGCCCACAAACAAAGGCTCTGTGAGGAAGAAGCTCACCCTCCAATTACAGTATCCTCTCTTTGGAGTGCAGCGGAGCAACACTTTAGCTATGCCACTGTCATTTTAGGGGTTTGCAACTTCCTTGATCAAAGGCGAGAAACGAGAGGAGAAGGGCGGAGGGGAGAGATAAGAGGACTTCCAGAGCCATGCAAGACTGCAAGAGACACTGCTACACAGTGCAGCTACACATCTGTATATTTCTGTGTTCATGTTCGATAAAAGTCTAAAGGAACCCAGTTCATGCTGTAAAGAGGATAAAAATTAGCTAAAAACGGGGGCAGAAAGGTAATCTCTACAGCTGGAGTGAAGTCATTACTTCTGTTCAGAGACCAGTGAACTGCACCCGCAAGACCTGGTTTATATGCAAATGAGCATGGCATCCTTAATGCCCAGGGGTAGAGAAGGCTCTATGTGTGTGTGTGTCTTCACACTGGCCTTTAGAGCCCATTCAGCAACAATTAAAAAGAGCTGGGATTAATTGGCAGTCCAGGGTCAGAATTCATTTATTCCAACAACCCACAGCCTGGCATTGATGCTCATTCACACCCCCCTCTAAGCCCATCCCCCATCTCTCTCTCTCTCTCTCTCTCTCTCTCTCTTACACACACACACACACACACACACACACACACTTGTTTTTCTACCCTCTCAGTATATGGGGTCGCTGTTATTTAAAATCTTGTAGTATCTACATGTAGTGACAGTTTTCTAAGCTTAACCCTACCTATCCCTAACCTTTACCTCAGTAACTGAAAGGAAATGGCTTACTCTCTCAGTTGAAACACAAACATGAAACATTTATTAATTTAATTTATTTAATAACAATAATAAAAAACAGAAAACTTACATTTTCTTCAGTATTTAGTGTCTCCACACTTTGCCTTTGTTACAACTTCCATTTTTTTCACTAGACTTGTGTAGAGAAGGGGGTGTGGCCGAGCATCGAATGCAAGACAGAGAAGCCGGTCAGGCTGAACCAGCGGGCTAAGTAGCTGATGATGTTCACCTGTGCCTTGTTTCTGCCAGCCTACTTATAGTCATCTCTTCCCTCAGTAGGTGACAGAGCCCAGAGAGAGAAGGAGACCAGTGAAGGCATGAGAGCTGAGCCGAACTAAACTAAACTAAACTAAACTGAGCTGAGCTGAGCTGAACTGAACAAGAGAGGGAAAAAAAGGACTGAAAAGTCCCAGCGAGTGTTTTGTCTTAATTTGTCTGTGGGCTGAAAAGCCGAGTTGTTTTTGCGTTGTGTATAAATAATAAAAAGCCCTCCGTCTTCACACCTGCCCCTGCCGTCCTCCCTCCACCCATCATTAAAGTTGTTACAACTTGCTTTCAGTTTTTAGAAAAATCTGCAGGAATATTTTTCCAGACTTCTAAAGTTCAGTCTTTGAAGCTGGTTATATCTTCTGCTTCTCACAATTCAATTAATCCCAAATCCATTCAGTGATGCTGAGGTCTGGACTCTGGGATGTTGCACAGTTAGGAGCCCAATTTTCTCTCTTCTATTGTTTTTCTTTCTGTTAATAATTTTCTGAACCCCGGTTTTAGAAACTCACACATATTTCTTTGACTCTCCCCTTCTTTATGTAAGTGGATTATCTTATATCTAATCTCCTCTGAAATATCTGCTCTAGCCATTTTAGATGCACATGAGAAAGAAATGTGGAAGGCAGCTAAGGTGAGTCTGGGCAGTTGCTTGTGTGAATGTTAGTGTCTTTTGTAAGGGGAACATAATGTCGCTGACTCCTTTTGAACAGCTTTCGTTGGGAGGACATAGCTGTAACTGGTTGGTTTGAAGACTGTAAGGATGGAAGAGTTAAAGTAGCAGTAGAGTGCACAAAAGTAAAGAGCAGACTAATTAAAAATGTTAGATTTAATATTATACTCTAGTCTTTGTAATCTTTTCTGCTTTTTCTACACAGAAAAGTAAAGAATTTGTGATTAATGGCTGTTTTGACTGAAAAGAGACACTTTCCACAGTAGCTTTTGTAAAAACAAAACAAAACAAAAAAAAAACCCAAACAAAAATGAAATTCCTGCAACACTCTGTCTTTCAACAGCAACATCTGACAAAGAGCTGGTGAAAAGCTAACAAAGAACTTTTTTCACTGTGCTATTCACTATTGTTATGACAGCAGGTACAAGCCTTTAGTCAAAAAAATCAACATGGTAACAAAATCCAATCTAGTAACGTTCTAAAGATTTCAAATCTGTGGTGATAAAAAGAGATGCAGTCGTTCATTAAAATGTGTACCATCTCCAGAGTCTGGAACCGTAATTTTACCATTTTATTTGATCATCTCTGTCCCATGGAGATGTCTAGACACTGTAATTACAACACTTGCAGGAGAAAAAAAGTAAAAAAAAAGAGATTCACAAAAGAATATGCTTAATAAGAAACAGTAGGTGACACAAAGAAGAGCCATTTAATTGAACAGTGTTGAAAAAATAATGAGCGAAAGCACAGAATGTGTCTGGACGCTCCAGCCGATGAAGACACACAAAATTAACCCCCGTTTCAAAACCTGCTGACATTAGTGCTTTTGATCCTGAGCACAGCATGATAACAAAGCCATGCCCTTTTGTTAGAATGCACGTATACACACACACATGCACAGGTGGGTCCTGCTCGCCAGCCCTCCCGAAAGCCACTTTCATACTTCATAGAAGAAAAACTGTATGTTTTATTCACAGCCCACTTTGAACTGCATCCATCGTCCATTCATTTCTCATTCATATCCTTGAATACACTCAGCATTTCACTAAAGGTGGGCCATTCTTCAAAATATTCCTCCTTTCTTTGGGCATTTGTTGGTTTCTGTTGTTTGTTGATATTGAAGAATTTGCAAAATGCTATATATCCATTACTATTTTGGATATAACATTTTTCTTTAAAAGTATAACAGCTGATGCACAAGAGAAATTCTCTATTAACCCCTTAAAACCCCAGGCTTTTTACATACTAAGGCTTATTATACAGTAATTACACAGACTACAATGCAAACTAGTTGAGCTATTCTCAGGTTAGAAGTGTGTAGAAACCTTTGGGCCCACTGGCTGGCCCTGGCCATTTAAGGGGTTAAAGGTGGTATTAATTATAACACAGCATTACTATTTCTTGAATGTGTAAAACTCACTCCTAACAACATATACCAGGAAAAAAAAATTCTTGAATGTAGTCTATAATGCTTTTTGGAACAAAACCCTTCATTTCTTTTTTTTAAGCCCCCTCAGTAATAGTGCCCAACTAATATAGCAGTAGACAGATAAAATCGGCTAATATTGATGGGTCAGAGATTTATATTATGGGAAAAATGAATGGCATTCTTGAAAATTCCTACCACTGTGCCCTGTGGCAATAAAAAGATTATATGGTTCATCCTATGTACATTTACAAGGACATAAAGTAGTCAAAATACAATTTTTATATGCTATATGCTATTATTTTACATCATAACCTGACCAAAATACTCCATAAAACCAGCAAGCTTTTTTTGCTTGTTTGCTAAAGGTGGTTATTGAGTTGCTTTGGCAGTAGAAGCCTACACTTTAAGTAGCTGGTGTTGTTATATTATCATGTAGAAGTTAAATAGTGAACTTATTTTCAAGCAGTGTCATTTCAATATGCAGAAGCATTAGCTTGCTTTAACATGGGTGTAGCAATATTCATATTTTCCACAACCAAACAAGCTCATAGTTCAGAAAATACAGTGACATTCTGGGAAAAGTGTACAAAGGACAAAACGTATCAGCTTTGGAACATCTTTGTAGCAGCAATTTTTTAAAATGCTATTCATTTTTCCTATAGAGTAAAAAACTACTGAGAGCCGGAGTTCCTAATATGGGAATGTCGCTGACCACAAAATGACACACAAATTCAAAAGACTTGATATCGGCAAGTATCAAGGGAAGCCCCGCCCCTACTCCACAATATATTAAGACTTTGTGAGTTTCTGTTCTTTATTTAAACTGTTCAACAGAAATCTGACAATTGAAAACCGACAATCATACCTGACCATTCACAGTTGACAACTAACAGTCATGCCAGTCAGTACAGACCTATTCAACAAAACCTACAGGAGTCTTCTTAGTTTTTGGCCTAATTCATCTCCACTGGCTGATGTTATCAGTTCTCAGAACTTCTTAAGACTGATACTCTATTGATCACAGTATTTTCAGATGGGCCCTCTTCTGTCTGCCCAGGCACATAAACCAACT